CCAGGCTGGCCTCGAACTCACAGAGATCCACCTGGCTCTGCCTCCCGAGTGCTGGGATTAAAGGCGTGCGCCACCAACGCCCGGCCTAGTGTTTTATTATTTAAACAGGTTGTGAATTTACATATTAAGTGGTGATCTGGTGTACTTGTAAAAATGATGCCTTTAGAGAAGTCGGGAGGTGGTGGTGAAAATCTTTGATCCCAGCAGAGGATCTCCAGAGCGATTCCCAGGGCAGTCAGAGCTACACAGAAAAAGAGGTATTTGGGGGAAGAGTAGGAACAAAAAATTTTATATACTATTAAACTGCTATGTAGGGGAGTGGTTGCATTTTCGATTCTTTGCGTTACTTAAATTCTCAGGCTTTTTATACAGCATGACTAAGCCTTAGATCAGAATTAGCCTGGAATTCGTTGTGATAGGACTGTGAAAACACCATTAGGAAATTGGACCAACCCTTGAGTCTCCTAAACCTGCTACCGTTAGTGATCTTCTTTCATGGGCTGCCCACTAGCCCCAGTTGTAGGAAATTTGACTTCCTGTTCTGTGTCCTAAGTATTTGTAAGGATGCAGTGATTCTCTTTAAAATTTCAGAGAGTGTAGCGGCGTGGGAGGGTGGGCCCTCTCCCCATCATCGGTGGATGTATCCTGTGGCAGGCCTGTGGTTGAACCAGGATGGGTGGGACCTGGTGGTGACCTTCCAACCCATTCACCTGGCTTGGCCATGCATGGTAAAAGCAAACTCCTGGCAGGGGGTGGCAGCAGGAGGGTGTCTCAACACCCTCAACAAAACCGGGAAAAGTGTAGACATGAGTGGCGGGTGGACGGAGTTCCCGTGCAAAGGTGGAGAGGCGAGGCACACAGACCTTAAATGATGCAGAGTGAAGTCTCTGAGGCTGGAGGTGCTGCTCAGTGGTCGGGTACGAGCCTAGCATTCAGAAGGTCCTGTTTCCTCAGTGCAAAAAGAAACAAATGAAGTACTACCCACATTTTAAATGTTTGTGTTTTTAAAAATTAATTCATTCTCTAGAGAGATGGCTCCATTGTTAAGAGCAATTACTGTTCTTTCAGAGGGACCCGGGTTTGGTTCCCAACACCCAGATCAGGCGGGTCATAACTGTCTCTAACTCCAGTTCCAGGCAACCCAAGACTCTTCTTACCTCTGGTGCACAAAAAAATAATGCAGGTGTGCACATAAATAATAAATCTTAAAAAAATAAACATTTTAAAGCATGTATTTTTAGATTGGGAAAAAAATGAAAGTCTCTAAAGGGCCACAAACAGTCTTTAGACACGATTGACATAAAACAGTTAGAAAGCAAAGTCAGAAGTGACAGAAATGACTACCATCCTGAGCAAGACGGTGCCAAGTTTCAGAGGCCACCTTGGGCTGCGTAGCAAGATCCTGCCTCAGACAGAGTAAAAAAAGAATAAAGCTATCCGATGGAGATTGTGGACGCAGGGGCTTGAGGGATGAAAATCCACTGCACAGTGTTAGGGATCCTGGCAGGGACAGTTCCCAAAAGAGCTTAGACCAGCAGGAGTGGCGAGGAGGCTCTTCCTGGACACTCAGAGGCAGGTGCCGATTGGCCACATGTGGTCCTGATGGGAGGAAATAAAGCCTGAGAGCGGAATGTGGTTGAGGCTTGTCGCAGTGGGGTGGGGTGAGGGGAAGGTGAGGCAGCGGTAGGAGGTGCCAGGGAAGGCTGCTCCTGCTCGGAGGTTGGAGGAGGGTGAGATGAGCCAGGGGCAGGTAGAGGAGGTGAGCTGCTCAGGAGGGTCCACCCGGGTCTGGAGTGATTCCGGACAGTGGCTGGAGCTGCAGAAGAGCGGCTGCCAGTGAGACCAAGAATGCAGTAGTCGGCCTTGGGTAGGGAGGGACCGGAGGGGGAGGGTTGGCAGGACTCCAGCACTGTGCTAGAGTGAGCCTGTGTAGACCATGGCCAGTGTGGCCAGTGGACCATGTCAGTCACCTACTAAAGTTCCAGTGTGTCCCTGTCCTGCCCCAGCTCTGGCTGCTTTGACTCCACTAAAGCACAGCCACGTGCCTGCTGGCCTCTGAGTTACAAGCCGTGGTTCTGTCCCATCCTGCCTGACTTCTCTTGGGAGTAACTTCCCTACTGAAATCGCTGTTTCGTCTTATCATTCTTTTTTTTTTTTTTTTTTGGGTGTTTTGAGACAGGGTTTCTCTGTGTAGCTTTGTCACCTTCCCAGGCTGGCCTCGAACTCACATAGATCCGCCTGCCTCTGCTTCTTGAGTGCTGGGATTAAAGGCATGCACCACTGCCAGCTTGTCTTATTCTTAAAAATAGTTTATTCTTATTAACATTGGTGTTTTGCCTGTATGTATGTCTATATGAGGGTGTCAGATCTTGGAGTTACAGACAGTTGTGAGCTGCCTTGTGGGTGCTGGGAATTGAACCCAGGTCCTCTAGAAGAGCAGTTTGCTTTTAACCGCTGAGCCATCTCACCAGCCCTATGTCATCATTTTTTAACAAAAGGCTAATTTGTTGTTATGTGTTTGAGTGTTTGCTGTGTGTCTGTACTGCATGCATGCATGCCTGGCGCCTGGGGCAACCAGGAAAGGACACCGGAGCCGGAACTGGAGTTTCCAGTGGCTGTGAGCAGCAGACGCTCTTAACTGCTGCGTTGTCTCTGCACTCCCTGGTTATCATGGTCTTGTTTATGTCTGTCTGCTCGTGCATTGCTCATCCCCACGAGGGTGGGATTTCATCCCTGTCCTCTGCCCTGCCAGTGCTGGTGCACCATCAGCACTTACTGGCTTGTTGAAAGAATGCAGTAGAATAGCTCCTTTGCTTTTTGGTGACTCACTGGATGGTGACAACCAGTTAGGGAGAACGGGGAGAGGACAAGACGATGTTTACTTTTGGATATGATAAATTCCAGGTGCTTGTGGGAGGCCCCGTGGACTAGCTCAGGATGCAGGTCTGAAGTGAAGACCGAGATAAGTCTGGGGATGGAGATCTGAGAGTGAATCAGCATTGCAGTGAGGGCCAAGGTGCATGCATACTGCCTGCCTGCTGTAGACAGTGGAGTACCCCTCAAGGAGAGCACCCCTAAGGGGGGCACCCAAGAGCAGTTGGCCTGAACAACCCGCTGGGTTTGACCTCTGGGAAGTTACCTCTGGATGATTCGGGTCTTTGCTGGAGTTCCCTGCTCCTCCCTTTACCTCTGCCTTCTTGCTTTCAGGGCATCTTTACCCCGTAGCTTCCTAATGAGGGCTGGGCATGATGGCACAGGCCCTAGGGAGGCAGAGGCAGGTGGATCTCTGTGAGTTCCAGGCCAGCCTGATCTACAGAGTGAGTTTCAGGACAGCTGGAGGACTGTATGTAGAGAGATTTTACTTAAAAGCAAGCAAGGAAACAAACTAGTTAGTATTCATGGATCAGAATGCACTGTGGTCCAGTGTATGGTGTTACACTCTACAATTCCCGCCCTTAGGAATCGGAAGGAAGAGGACTAGCCTAGGTTACATGGCAAGGCTCTGTCTCAAAGACTGAGGATGCCTGGGTGTGTAGCTCAGTAGTAGAATGCTGGCCTGGTATGTACCAAGCCCAGGTTCAGTCTCTAGCATGCTGTAGCTAGAGTTTTCCTGCCTTGCCCACAGTCAAGACAAATCTTTGTCACCCGCCAGTCCCACAGCTGCTCAGACCAGACCAACGAAACACAGAGACTTATATTGCTTACAAACTGTATGGCCATGGCAGGCTTCTTGCTAACTGTTCTTATATCTTAAATTAATCCATTTCTATAAATCTATACCTTGCCACATGGCTCATGGCTTACGGGCGTCTTCATATGCCGCGCTTGTCATGTGGCGGCTCGCAGTGTCTCTTTCTGCCTTCCTGTTCTTTCTTTTCTCTTCTCTGTTAGTCCCGCCTATACTTCCTGTCTATCCACTGGCCAATCAGTGTTTTATTTATTGACCAATCAGAGCAATTTGACATACAGACCATCCCACAGCATCATGCCACTCTGAAAACATCAAAAAAAAGTCTAAAAATTGAATTGTGGTTTTGTTTTTACTAGTATTTGGAGGTAGATAAAAGTGATTTATGTTTTTTGAATTTATAAAATGAATAACAATGGGATAAACCTTTTAAGGTAATTGTATATGTATGTAAATTAAATGATTTATTTGGTTCTAGAATATTCCCATTACCTCAGGGTTCTTTTGTTTGTTTGTTTTAAGAAAGGGTATCAGTATGTGACCCTGGGTGGCCTACAACTCAGTTATAGAGCCGAGGCTGCCCTACAACTCACAGATCTTCCTGCCTCTGCCTCTTGAATGCTGGAATTGAAGGTGTGTGCCACCAGGCTGGCCTCCCATTACCTCAGCCATGGGTTATCCGCTGCCTTCCACTGCCTGGTGTGGACCCTCCATCTACAAGGTCCTGTCGCTGCTCTGGTCAGGTGCTGGTGTGGACCCTCCATCTGCAGTGTCCTGTGGCTGTTCTGGTCAGGTACTGGTGTGGACCCTCCATCTGCAGTGTCCTGTCGCTGTTG